ATGGAAAAGCGAGGGGAACTAGAATCGCGTGCGAGAAAAGGGGACCAAGTAATGCAGATAAGGAGCAAGGAGGCAGCATTTTGATACGAAGCTGAATAAACGAGGCTTGAAATAATGAAACGGGAAATATACGATAATTGATATGTAGAAAAAAAATGCTTCGTCGGTAGTAAAATCAATTTTAGACAATAATAAGCTTTATAAACATTTCGTTGCAAGAACAAACGGTAAGAATGTTAAATCCTTAAGAAAAAATGAAAACAGAAAGAATTAGGAGTGGAGGAGGACAAAGCGTGAAATAATGCAAATGAAAACGGGTGAAGGGATATTAAGAAAAATGAACACATTAAGCCGGTTAAGAAAAATACAGAAAGTGGAGAGGGAAGGGGAGAGAGAGAGAGAGAGAGAGAGAGGATCGTAAAAAATACGTGGACATGGAAACAATCCGTAAAGTTGTTCCGGCAGGCCGTTTACATCCGTGTAGGAATTCGAGATTGCGAGAGATTCCGCGACGCAGCTGTGAAGGCCCGAGCCGGAAGCGACTCCGGATGAGAGGAACTGCGCTAGTGATCTATAGATCGCGAAGAAGAGAATCTTACTCGACAGAAAGACGGTACGCGCCACGCAAACAGGAAGTATTCGTCTGATATAACAAACGACCCGGACGTGATATCATCTGCTTTTGCGCGAATTCCTTCCTCCCGACCGCGTACACGCTCGATGCATCAGAGGCAAGATTTTTTATTCGCTGCGTCGCGTCGCGAACTTTTTCTCTCTCCTTCGAGAAGTTTCATATCCCTAGTTTATGTTACACACACTCGAGCATACACCATACAATAAAAATCAATATGCTATTTCAAATAATGATTGCAATCATTCATATACTATCAAATTTGTGGAAATCATAAGATAAGAAAAAGAAAGCTTTACGAGCAATTCTGTTAACGAAAACTATTACTTTAATATCGCGGAAGACTTATGGATTAATTTCCTTAGGAATTCAGGTTGCGTTGGAGTATTTTGGAAACAGCGTGCCGCAAAGATCGGTACATCGTGCTCCCTCGTCCGATAAATTCTGCGGGCAGAAGGCGATATCGCGAGCACTTGCGTGCCACTTGAGCACTTAGATTTAGGGATCGTGCAACCCTAGTAGTGGGCGGGTGTAAGTAGATTTAGGGACCGCACAGCCCTACAAATGCGCGGACGGTGGGTAGATTTAGGGACTCTGTACAACCGTAGAAATTCACCCGCTCCTCCGGATTCAAATGCGCTTCAGAATCGCCAAAAACTGGCGTAAAACGTTTAGCACACCGGGAATTGTGCAATGCTTCATGTGAATATTACAAAATTTCAGTACAGCCAAGTGTTTTATCACTTGGAACCGGGTAAGCTCTTAATCCTTGTTTCTGTCTGAATAATAGTAAACTCGTACAAGAAAGTTCTTTGACAATTCAGTCTCCTACCCAACTTTCTTATATTATTGTCTTAATGCAATATTTCGTTAGCAATTAAGCACTTGCTGAAGACTTCGTTCCTGTTACGATGATAATGATATAAGAGCCACGGAGCGTATCGACGTTTGAACGTCTCGGTGCGCGCGTTTATCGTCGATTCACGATTAATGCCGGACAGGCAATTTGTTAATTGCGTTACATGCCGGTAGGAATCCTCGGCCGGATTTTCAAATGGTCGGCATAAACAGAGCTTGTTAGCAGTAAACAACAATAATAATCTCGCTGATAACCCCATTACGTGGCCACGGCCGGTAGGCCGGGAGATTCACGGATCACAGGTAGCCGAGTAATTAAATCAGAAGCCAATCAGCCGTTGGTTCATTCGATTAATGAGCATTGGACGCAGAAGCCTGCTTCATTTGCCGCCATTCGAGCCAGCAATTTATTTTGTTTCTAGGATCATTCTCGCAACAACTTTCTCGTAGAGACAAAGTTTCGCCCCTCTGAAATACTCTATCGGTCATAAACCGTCCTTCTTTTGTTGTTAAGAAACATGAATCGTTTCTTCCGACATCTCGACAGTTCCTCTACAATCGTGCGAGGCAAACGAGTCCGAAACCCGATTGATAGAACGTCCGCTTTGTTTGCCGAGACCGAGAGATAGATTATCGACGGAAACGCTCGGTTTTCACGGGGTTATAGTAGAAAAAGAATCGAACACGATCGGATTCTTCGTTTGAAAATTTCTCTGACCGATCCACAGCTATTCGATCTCTCCACCCACAGTTTAATATTCGAAGTGACTAAGCGCCCACGGGTCGCTCGATAAACTTGTCGGGTCACGTTGAAAATTCCACGCGATACGCCACCAGAGCTAAAACGTATAATGAAATGCAATTTAATTCAATGAAAAAATGTACACTATTTCCGCTTTGACGTTTTGACCACTAGTACCATAATAACCTTTGCCCAGACGAATGAAATAATAATCATAGCGTTACTGCTCGGAGTAAAATCGCTCGTACATTTTCTATTACGACGATAAGGAATAGCGAGTAACGATTTTCTGTTGAGTAAGAGGGCCCGAGGAAAATAGAGCCGTTCGGACGCGTAATTACACTTAACGTTAAACTAAAACATTTTTTAAATTACCGCGACGTTACACTATTGCAAGTTAGCCGATCGATAGGCGTTGAACGCGCAAACCCATTAACGTCGCGTGCGTTCGTGTCCCCGATGAAAAATAAAGGGGGAACGTCGGATCACCGTAATTTCCCCCGCAGCCAATGAACAATTCCCTATTTTATATACATAACGACCCGATCGACTCGGTGATCGATAAGGCCGGAAATTTTTTCACAGCGTCGATGAACTACGTCAAAGAAAAATATTTTTAAACGTAACTCAAGAATATAATCTAATAACATCTTTTGATCGATGGCCAACGTTCGTGCACAACTCTTTCCACGGTGAGATGGCGTTTATAATTAGTAACTATGTATTTTCCCGCGAGTAAAAAATTATATGCGATAAGATTCGTGACTTAATTGTCTCGTTAAAAAAGTGCAGGTAATTCATTCTGTCTAAAGTTTGTAATAGGAAGCGTTTTCAAAGATTTTATTTTTCATAATTAAATGGTAATACAATTCGTTATCTGACTCGGATGCGTCGTCGTTCAAAGGGAGATTATAGCCGTTTTAACTGTGAAATCTACCCGGAAAAACGGTCCTTAATTTCCACGGGAATCCAGATTTTCCCAGTGTGTTCATCGCGCCCCTTTTACGGCAAGGGATTATCCGCGGAATTTGATCGATATTAAATACCAGGCCACGCGTTATCACCCATTTCCAACGGGTTTACTCCCTGTCCTTGCAATAAATAGGAAAGAACAGTAACATTCCGCTAATTGGCTTTAAATCCTTTTGGTAATAATTAGACTGCGAATTCAATGTATTTATGAGGAAATTGAATCTACAGAAAATGTAAGCACTGCATGTATATCAACAGCAAATTGTATATTGCGATATTTTGAGTGATAAAAGAAATTTCTACACGAACAAATGCGACGAATATTTTATTTCGCATAACAAGTTTATTGATTACAATCAATTTGAACGTCTCCGTATCGGATTTGGCGCAGGATCACGGCAGGTTCGATGGAATTCAAAGAGTGTTTTTCGGTGGTGGTCTACGTTTCTGGTTGCACAATCTGTTACTCCTGGACTCGCTGTCGTATCTGTCGCACGGCCAGCTGAGTCTCAGCCTGAACCGCATGATCCTGGTGGACGTCGACGACATATTCGTCGGCGAGAAGGGCACCAGGCTTAAAAAGGACGACGTGATGGCGTTGCTGGCTACCCAACAGAGGATACAGGCTTTGGTGCCGGGCTTCAAGTTTAACTTGGGGTTTTCCGGGAAGTACTTCCATCACGGAACCGCAGAGGAGAATTTGGGGGACGACTTGCTTCTCGAGAACGTCGACAGGTACATAATTATCCTGTTCTAATTATTTAATGGACGTATACATAAAAATACTATTGAGGATAAAGGAGCCAACCAATTTGCTGATAATTATAGTTAGTATGAAATCAGTTCCATAAAAAGTATAATAGATTCGATTTCAAACGAAGCTTGTTCAGAACAAAATACACGATAAACAGACCGCGAAAAGGTAGACCCGTAGTGCAAATTGACGGTATTGAGAGACTCGCACACGTGTCGCGGTTATTCGGAAGTCGCACCTGTTTGCCAATTATAGCCGTTTACTCGGGTAATTGGTTTCGTACGGACGATAATTAAACTGCCGATCCGTAAAGAGCGAACATTTTAGACCTCGTTTATATTAAAAAATTCAAAGAATAGAATGAAAACGGGTCGGTTTGAAATTGCAGATTTATGTGGTTTTCTCATATGTGGAATCATCAACAACCTCATCTGTACGAGAATGTAACACATTTACAACTGGACATGGCGTTGAACAAGCAGTTCGCGAAGGACCACGGGATACCAACGGGAAGCGGTTACAGCGTAAGTCCCCATCACTCCGGCGTTTATCCAGTTCACGAAGGGTTGTACGAGGCGTGGAAAAGGGTGTGGAACATCAAAGTCACCAGCACGGAAGAGTATCCTCATCTGAGGCCGGCCCGATTAAGACGGGGCTTCATCCACCGTAACATAATGGTAAGTAATCATTTATTTTTTTTTTTCATTATTTCGCTTGTGTTTTCTAAACGAAAACGGTATAGTACGCAATTTGATGAATTCGTATAAATGTTAATACAGTTTGGAAAAAGTGAATATGTGTAAAAAATGTGGATTTTATAAAAGTCAGCTGACCGGAGTAACTGAGTTTTCGACCTCTCTTCTTTTCCCAACAACGCTAATAGACATTGTTCCATGTTAACACGCAGCCATTCCCTTGAAAACTATATAGAACCGATAATTGTTCGCGATAAAACGAATTGCTCAACAGTCGCACGGTTACGTCTTTTGAACTTACGAAATCGGACCATTTTTTGGATGAGAGCGTAAAAATTAAATAATAAAATAGGACGGTTGACCAACGTTCTCGCTTTTGTTTTGAGGTCCTGCCGAGGCAGACGTGTGGTCTTTTCACGCACACGATCTTCATCAACAAATATCCAGGCGGGAGGGAAAAACTGGACAAATCGATACAGGGTGGAGAACTGTTCCAGACCATCGTACACAATCCTGTATGTACAATCCGAATACCCGAGCTTAAATTCTTTTCAGAGAACTAACTAGTTCCTTTACAGATCAATATTTTTATGACGCACATGTCGAATTACGGGAACGATCGTCTGGCGCTATACACGTTCGAATCGGTAATTAAATTCATTCAATGTTGGACGAATTTGAGATTGTCCAGCGCTCCGCCTCTCCAACTCGCCGAAAGGTATTTTCAACTATATCCCGAGGAAGCTGATCCCGTGTGGGGTGTAAGTTCTGAACTATTCCGAATGTACTACGGTCGTCGTCGAGTAACGTGTGTGCTAAAGGATTTCGTGTACCACAGAACCCATGCGACGACCAAAGGCATCAGAAAATCTGGTCGAGGAACAAAACCTGCGATCAGCTGCCCAGGTTCCTGGTAATCGGGCCACAAAAAACCGGCACCACCGCTCTCTACACTTTCCTGTCCATTCATCCCGCGATAAGCAGCAATCTGCCCAGCCCTGACACGTTCGAAGAGATTCAGTTCTTCAACGGCAAGAATTATTACAAGGGACTCGACTGGTGAGCAAGGAAAATTATATCAGACATTGTTAAACATTGCATTGCAACAATTCGTATCATAATTTTATCCCGTTTGATTCTCAGGTACATGAGCTTCTTCCCGGCGAGAACGAGAGAATCAAAGAACGATTCTCGATTCCTGTTCGAAAAATCTGCCACATACTTCGACGGGGAATTAGTACCTCGGAGAGCACACGCGCTTCTGCCAAAAGCGAAACTAATCACCATATTGCTTTCGCCGGCGAGGCGCGCTTACTCGTGGTACCAGCACACGCGAGTTCACGGAGACGCCGTGGCTAACAATTACTCCTTTCACTCGGTTATCACCGCGAGCGATACCGCACCGAAACCATTACGCGATCTCAGAAACAGGTAAGTTTCATTGCAGAACTATATATGATCCCGTTTATTCCCGGGACGCTTGTTCGTTGAAACTACTTGAGTAGTTAAATGCAAATAATAACATTAACCAGCGGCGATAGCCGGAAATCTGAGTTGGTAATTCGGTGGAATATTAACCGGCGGTGTGTAAATATCATTGTTCCCCGATCTGTTACAGATGCTTAAATCCCGGGAAATACGCGCAACATCTGGAGAGGTGGCTTACCTATTACTTGCCTCAGCAGCTGCACATCATAGACGGCGAGCAGTTGCGTCAAAATCCTGTCGAGACGTTGCACGAGCTACAGAGGTTCCTCAAGATCACTCCTGCTTTTAATTATTCGTCCCACTTGAGGTACGACCCGAAAAAAGGATTCTTCTGTCAAGTTACTAATGAGGATCGGACGAAGTGCCTCGGCAAGAGCAAGGGTCGTCAGTATCCCCCAATGGAGGATAAATCTTATAAATTGTTACAGGTACGTAGGATATTTTTGCAAAAGACACAATATTCCTTGAGTGAGAGCTCGAATTACCGTGACTTCGAACGACTTCATATTTATCGAAGGAGTACCGTAGTATCGTATGAGATTGTCAAAATATTTGCTCTTCTTCCAGAGATATTATTTGTCGCATAACACGGCCCTAGTAAAATTGTTGAAGAGACTGGGACTGAGGACGATACCTCAATGGCTGAAGGAAGATCTCACCGACACGGTGATGACCTAGCAAACGTCGATCACCTGAAACGATACCGTTTCCGAGTTGTTTATCTCGACGATGAACGAGATTCACCGATTGCTAGCCGAAGACCTGTAAAATAAATTGTACATTTGCTGTGTGTACATGTACATATTCCAGTGGATTCCGGAAGGACCATTGGCCGGCCTATCTCTGGCCTACGAGATCGGTGAGGAATGAAACTAGTCACTGTCGCGGTTGTACGGTGATCACCGTAGCTGTCGATCGTTGTTAAGCCGATAGCGCTATTATTAACGTTATAATTATTATCGTCATCGTTGTTGCGTCGTAGAAGACATGAATTATTAAAAGTACAGTCCGCTCGCTGGTGCCATCGTCCGTCTATTAGACGTCTTTCGTTCTAATCTTTACTGCTAAAGACGTAGACGTAATTTGTGAAAATTGAATCTACACCGCGCGAAGAACAAAGTTGAGAATATTTTATTAAAGAAACGCACATCTCATTGCTTGAGTAGTAAAGGGAAGAAGGAGCAAATGAATCGATGCTTTGTCGAGCGAATTAAAAGCGACCAAGATAAGAAAAGTATTTTGGGGAATAAAAATGCTTGACGTCTGTGAGATGAGTTCTGTCCAAATCGTGTTACTATGTTTGAAGAGATTTATTTATTCGCGAAGAATGTCTTTGGATGGATTTCACGCGTCGACGATCGTCGATTTAGATCGACGGGTCCTTCGTTGCTGGCACTAACATTTTTTGGGGACGACTCCGAGCTTCTCTCCCGCCCACTTACCCTCTCAGCAGAGACACATGTACATTAATTCTCGTTGTGTAAGCGTATTTAAAAAAAGAAACGTGAAGAAAAAGTATAATGATGATTGTATGTATATTTTGACAATACTATTCTTGGTACCGCCGATTGAAGGGTCGATAAAAATTATGTGATCGCATCCGTTTGTACATTTATGTATCGTACTATTTCGATGTGATCGTAGATGTACCATACCGACTTAATAAGATAAAAGATACTATTTCGAGAATGATCCGCGGCGATCGTTTTTTCTAGTGGAAGATGATCTTAAATGAAGAAGTGATGACTGCCTATTCGCAATAAACTACACGGACTCTCGTTTAACGATAATCCTAAGTTCCGGAAACGAAGTAATTCGTTGTTGAATGGGAAAAGAAGAGTGATTTTTGGAAACTTTAATACCTGATGTATTATACTTACCAGCATGAATCATGAAAAGGAAAATGCAATACTGTGTATGTGATCGTGTTATTCGCAAGATAGTTTAATGATGAAAATCGTTTGTTAAACGCATATCATTTACAATTGTATTTGTTAATCATGTATACGAAGTAATACTTACTTACCCCCTTCACCAAAAATTTCACTTCTGATCGAATTGTCCCTAATACAGTAATTTTTTATTGAAAAATTCTCGTTACTTAAACAAACTGTAGCACAATTGTAAATATTTTTTTATAAACAATCAATGGGAAAGAAAGATTGATTTAGAAATTAAATCGTCCCTCATGTTTAAAAAGAAAAACCTCCCATAGCATTTTATATTTATATAGATACGTCCTCGCGGATCGTTTTGTTACTCCTTGTACATTTTGTTTTCATTTTTATACTGCCGTTAAACTGTGTCCGAAGACATTTAACGAACCGTGTACAAAGTTTATTGTTAATATACTAATAGTTAACGGTAATATTCAAGCACTAAGCGATTGATCTGTTTCGAATCGTGCCATTTTACCAATGTTGTATATAAAATTGTACCATTGTACCAATCGCGGCGTCGGATCTCTAGAGTCAATATTAATCGATTTTGCTCGGATATGGCGGTAGCAAGTTTTTGCTGCCAGCTGACAATAATGACGAACCGAAATCGCAAAATGATTTATTATACGAGTACGAAAATTTAAAAGACACGAATGCCACTATATTTCATCGTTGGTTCGTCTGTATAAATATTTTTCTGTCGAATGTTTCTCGCTTGAATAATTTCATCGATTAATCAACGATGAAATAAGTACTGCTAATTTGCATTTGAAATAAAATTTTGTAGATGCTCCAGCAGACCTGTTGTACTGAAAGGAAAGGGAAACGAACGGTTTCGTTGTACGATTAAAGAAAGACGCGTGTAGAATATGTGTACGACTTGAATAGAAATCTTTGATTATTTAACTAAAAATAATTTTATTGTAAAATACTGTAATAACTGTATGAATAGTCCGTAAGTTCTAATAAAACGAAACTTAAAAATCTTCGATATTAAATGCATGAATGGCTTTCAAATCAAATCCATCAATTTCCGTTTTCATCGATCAGTATAATTAATCAATATCAAAATATAATACATTTTTATTAAAATCTCCTACCACTCGGTTCGTTGGTACTCGTGCCTGGTTGAATAAATGTAGAATTGTTATCAAGACGAAACAGTCTTTCCAAGAACGTTTTTCTGCGAGAGGCTCTCCCTTCGGCAATCGTAGCCCTCAAATGATTCAAATGTTCCGATCTGTTCCTCAATAAACCCGTGCATTGCAAAATAGCGAAAGCAGTGAACATAATTAACGACACGGAGCAAATGATCGCAGCCAAACAAATCAGATGCCATAGAAAATTCATTAAAATAATAGAAGCATCATTGTTGTCGTGTATAACGAACAGGGGCACCAGTAGAGATCCCAGAATGGAACAGACCAAGTGTATAGCTATCATGTTGCAGTAATCTTCGAGAGCACTCCGAAATATCTGTCTCGACGTTAAATAAAATAAAATGCTCGCGCTTGCACCTAGACACGTTGCCACTGCCGGCGAATAGATATCAGCTCCTGCGGATATCATTACAAGCCCTGCTACCATCGCTTGCACGCATCTCATTACCGTCCAATGATTAAACTCTTCTTTAGGAAGCAGGAAGTGATAGAGAACAACGAGCAAACTGCACGCCGAAGCTGCCAATAAATTATTGACGTAGACACTGTAGTGCAATCGTTTCTTTTCTTGGTAACAAGGCATATACGCAGCCTAAACAATGGAAATAAATCAGTTTCCCAGAATGCGTGAAACAAGAAACTATCTTACCTGCAGACCCATGAAGACCATCAATTGACCGGCGTAGACAGTTCCCGAAGAACCGATCGCGATACTCGCTTCGTCTATAGAATCCAAACGTAGTATCCTCCTCCCAAGTATCATGCAACCGATCAATCCAGATAATCCGCCGACGAGGTGGATGACCGTGGATCCGGCGAAATCGTGGAAATGTACTTTTTCGTCGTTCAATTCGTTCATACGCATCCATCCTTTGCCCGTCCAGATCCAATGGATCATAAACGGCTGCACTAGTCCAGCCAGTAGGAATCCTATGATAAGGTAACCGACGGTGTGCGTCCTGCCCACGATTCCGCAGGTGCAAATCGCAGCGGCAATTACCACAGCCGCCCATCCCACTAGCACCTCGTCCTTATCGACGATATCCTCACCGATCCAATACCCTCCGCCTATCACGCCCCGCGTGTCACCAGTGTACGCGATAATGCTCCCGATTACCAGATAAACGAACGTTACCCAAGCGAAATCGATTATATTTTGCAACAGGATCAAGTTTACATTGTTCACCGGCACGCTCCCGACGTGCACGAGAGTGAAACCGATTCTCAACAATACCACAAGGAAGACTCGTGTAGAACTCGGCGACGAGACGACCTCCGCAGTGATGTTGCCATCCGAACGGATTGTCTGATAGTAAAGATTATAATCGTAAACGTGCACGTTAGACATTCCCACGAAAAGTATTCAAAATCTCCGCGATAATACCATCGCCGACAAAAAGGTTAAAAAATCTGTCTGTCCGCCGTTGCCCAACTTTGCTGCAGCCGCTACGCAGTTCAAGCTGGTTTAATCAAATCGTCGAAGCCTAATGGCCTAATAATAGAAGAAAATAGAATATGCAGAAAATATAAAATTGTTCAGAGTATCAGAAGCTGAACGAATATCTGAACATCGTTCCAAATTGTTTTATTTCGTATGCAAATATGCAGTGTAACAATAATTACGTTTAAACACGAAGACAATGTTCATTTCGACAAAAGTGGAGGACTGCACGAAACTATGCTCAAATATTTAACATATATTGGCGCGTGCGGAAGCGCGAAGCTCCGAATGGTCCTGAAGAAACGAACCAATGGTGAGCGAGGAAACGTGGTCCGCGCATGTCAGTTTATTGGCCGCCGCAAAGTCGGGGTCTCGAGGAGACGCAGGAACGAGCCGGCAAGCGATGCGGTTCGTCGTTGACGTAGTAGGTAGTCGCTTCAGTCCGGCCGCTCCGCCTGTGTTTGGTGTTAAGTGGCTCGCGAACACGCTCCGAAAGTGATCGTACTACGTGTGCTCCGTTTCTGACGGGGAAACGCCAGAATGGCCACAGTATGCTGCCGCGCTCTCTACGTCGTCAAATGGTACGAGGTGTCCCGCGTGCTGAGTGTTTCCTCCACCCTCACAACGAAAAACTACCGGAACGTGAGTGTTTGTATATATTATTTACTCATTTCGTACGTATACACAGTTGTAACGGTGTTTGTATTAAGCGCAAACCGTCCGGTTTTTGTGGTTAAGGGGCATCGTTACGCTCCGCAGTTTAATATAATGCGAACGTAAATCCCCTCCTTTCTCCTGTGCATTCCCTTTCCATTAGACTTCTTCGCATCCCGTGTACATCTCATTTGCGGCCCAACTTCTTTTAAAATGCCGACATATTCGCCGGAACAGTAAACGTCAAAACATATATGAAGGTCTTAAAGTTTGATTATCGAAATTCACTTTTCAAAGTTCAGCTGACGTTACCTCTATGTTAAAATAAAATACAAGTATATTTCAGTGAGAAGCGTATCTTTTTATTATACCTTATCTCGAGTATGCAAAATTCCTTGGTGGTACCCACGTTGCATGCATAAACGATACGTACTCTTTTGTACCATAACACATATACATTGATACCATGCGGAGTCTACACGCGCTATTCTCAAAACCTTTACGAAGCCCGGATATTATTATCACATTCGATTATTCCAAAGAAAAACTCACGCAGCCCACACGTAAGCAACTCTTTTCTCTGAAACACTTACGATTATCTCTGACAACAATAATTACAAGAGAAATAACGTAACGTTCTACTACGAATCAGAACTAATTTGACCATGCATCATCGTTATTTATCACAAATTAATTAATTGGCTCTTCTCATCGTTGAGATCCCGACGGCCTCGCAATAAATTAAGCCACGGTCGTGACTCTGATAAGAGTTTACTATTTACATACACTGTAATATTTCCTGTCCACGCGCCACCTCCTTGCGCAGACCCCGTCTGCAATACGCCGACATTAATTACTCTAACTAACACTAATTACCATTCCCAGTCACGATATCACCTCAGACGTATCTTTATCAAGACGTGAATACGTAGCATTGCCTTTTAGTTATTAATAACACGTTTATCATTATGTTTTTATAGACATGACAGCTTCACTAATTGTATAACTGCTACTACTAAATGCTAAGATTTGATATTGCATTGGACTTTCTGTGGCAACCACAGATCATTCATATCACCCTATCTCTTTTTCCCTTCAGACGTATCTTTATCAATGGACGGGAAGATATTTGATAACAAACCATAAGTAAGCTTTTTACGTGAATACGACATCACGAAGCATCGCCTTTTAGATTAATGAATGTTTCGTGCGAAGGGTATAAAAAAAGAGCATTTGTTATCTTTAATACAAAATCATAAACGCCCTCGACAAGTCTCTGGCGTTTCATTCGCCCTGTTTTCGTATGAAACTGCTACGTTCCTTTGGGATAATGAAAAGTATACCAGCAGCAAACATTTAATCAACGTAACGGAATCTCAATCGGTGATTGGCAGTAAAAGTTAGGCTATTTATATAGTAGGCAGGGAGATCGTTAACTTTTAATCAAGGAGATTGATTAAGAACAGTTGATAAATACGGTACAGTGGATTACATGATCAGCGTGCGCAACATCGGATCATTAGTTATCTGCATAAATCAATAGTTCGCAGCATTCGTCGTACGTTAATTAATCTAACACATATTCGTTAGACATTACAAGTAAATGATAAGTTGTTACAACCGATAATAACCCTAAATTAGATACTAGGTTTCAAGTAATGACTCATTTTGTAATTCTATTACCCACGCTGCTATATTGCATTCGCCTATTCATATGCATTTCCGTCGGTGGGCTAATTATCTCGGGCTTAACTCGTGCAAACCACAAGCGGGATCAAAGGAATGATAATAACGTCAGGATGCATGTTAGATACGATGACGACACGAATTCGTCATTCGTGATTAACGGTAGTAGATTATATTTCTCAAGACCTCGGAATTTGTTGAACTTGACTCACAAGAATCAAAGCTAACATAAATGGTAAACAACGATTCTTCAAATGCTCAACAAACAAGCTTCATTTTATCAAATTGATTACATATTTCTGCGAGATACTAATTTTTCCTACCTAGAAAATATTTGCTCCTCGACTTACTGTTTTTACAATCGTGTTTCCCGTGCACTGAGAAATGTTTGTTGAAAATATATTTGCGGTTTAATACGTGGTGTACACCGCGTGTAACATTCGCATGGCGACGGATCGCCGGGACAGTGTATTCTTGTCACAGACCGTGAGGTCGTCACACAGAGCTCTTAACGTGTTCGCATTGTAATTTACTCGTTGAACGTACGTGATTTATCCGCATAGCGGCGTCCGCCTCTTGTCATGTGATTCATTTTGCGTAATCAAGATCTCCGGAATCCGCTTTCGGTTCCGATCGTACAAATTATTGGAAAACCGACGCAATACGATAAATATTAATGCGATTGGTCAATCGAATCAAGGTTGAAAAAGTAAAAGAAGCCTCGATTAATTCCCGTGGACAAGAATTTATGACACCATTATTTACTACAGGGTGAATAAGACTTGATTAGCTTTATCGGTTAACTTGATCACCTTTCTGGTTGAGATAAGGAATGAATTTGAACTCCATTCGAAGTTTGACTTTAGCGAAACAGGCTGGCTTTAATCAGAAATTTCCCTCGAACCAACCCTGGTAACTATACAACTACATTAATGGGAATTTGCCGAATAACATTTGAGAGCCCGGGGCGTGAAAGGTCGACTACTCTCGAGAGCGGTGTGATAAATTGCTTTCCTATGTAACCGAAAAAAAAGGGGACGTAACGGTTATTGGGTAATAGTCGGTCATTACTCGGAAACGAATTAGCATAAAATTGTTGACTCACAAGTCAAGCGTTCGTGACGGCTTCCACGTGTACGCCATTGAACTTCAGCGGTACATTTAATCATTTCATTTATGAAGCTGTGATACTTTTCTCAAAATCTATTTTTCTTTCAACGTAGAATGGCAGGAGGTCGACCTCAATTCCTCCTGGAGATAGTAGGTAAGAAAGTATGTGACTCGTTTCCTAATTCGCCCTTTGGGACGTAAAGTTCGCTTCAGTCTTAATCGAGCTTTAACAGGCTTGATAAAAGATATACGTGAATGAGATTCTGTTGTAGATACGTGGGCGTTGGTGCTATTCGTATCACGATTTCCTTTATCTATTTCGTAAGACAAGAATTCAAAATAGTATTGTCAAATACAAAATATGCATTAATACCGAAAGAAAGTTATGTTAAATGTTAATGTTAAAGTAAGTTATTTTTTATACGAAGAAATCTTCGTATGAAAAAAAAATCTCCGCTAATCTGTTGGATTTAACTTTCGTCACGTTAATTACTACAACATAATCCGTCGTGATTAAGCGTAGAAAATTCTTGAAGCGATTAACTTCGAGGAGCGACGGCGGAGTGACTCAGCCCTTAAAAGCCGGTTCGTTAACACTACTCTTTGAGATGGAATAAATGCTCTCACCCCTTGGAAACGGTGTCGAGTGAGCGTTTTCCTAGCCGAAAAAGACCTATACAGATGCAAAGTGGTCTTGCGTTGATTAGGCTGTAAACAAAGCTTTGACTCGAGGGTAGTTACGATTCTGTGACGAGGGTGAGAATTTTCTAAGATCAGTTTTTATTGTTTTATTGGACACCATTTTGGAAACGACCTGTAAATCGACGAACGGCGCAACGATGCAGCAAATTACAATCTTGGCATGCGTTTTATTGAAAAAGTTTGCTAACTGGGTCCTCGATATCCTATAAAGATTTATGTGCCGTAGCGGATTCAGGGTGTGCTCCAAGATATCTTGGCGTAATCGTGGTTTGTAGGGTTATCTCGATCATTAGTGCTTATCTCGATTGAAATTCGTACAGGAAGAAATTCTAACAAAGTAGTGAAATGTATTTAATGAGCGTCCCGTTTTAATGTTAGTAGACGTTGATCGTTTTCGTCCAACCTTTTTTACGTGTCGTTGGATAAATTTTTACATATCAGCGAGTTGAATCGTTTACTAATGAGCCGTGAACACGCGTAATCGAGAATTTACAAGTTTCCTATTAATAATTAATTTGAAGAGCGTGTAATTATCGATTACCAGCATTTATTGTTCGTCCATTATTCATATATATCTATAATCGTATAAATCTTTTCTGTTATTTAAAAGGATCTTCTAAATTTGATGAAATCGTGACTTATCTTCTTATCAGTATGTTGTAGATATTGTCTAAATTTAACTCTCGCATACCACATTCCCTACAGTTCTCCTTTAAAAGCCCTCCAACACCGTGGATGCTCGATTACAAGCACTCACGTCAACCTTTCAGTCATTCTGACATCCACACGCACTTCCGGAAAAGCACCCCAGAGTATAATTTTCTTCGAGGTGCACTCAAGGCATATAAATTTTAAATTTTCAGATAACACCTCTACACATATTTCAGTTCTTCAATACTTTCGTATGAAATTCAAATGTCAGCTGGGTGGACGAATTATGGGATTACAAGATCATATTTGCATTTGCCAAGATCTATATGTTCTATTTTCTCATACCAAATCGTAAAATAACATTTAAATTTTATTTAGATGAAATATTTTCATGCAGTTCGAACTGCGTTTGGATTTGGAGTTCATGTAAGCATGTGTCGCAAATTGTAGGGAACAGTCGGATGAAGGGTCAAACATGGAACACGTTAGTGTGGACAGCGGTATTAGTATGTCAACGTAGTCAGTACATATGTAGTATACTGTTATAGTTATAGCGGTTAGGGGGTTACATAGAGGGGTACAGACTGCGGCAGGCGCCATGGGCATCGATCTGTTCCACTGCCGGAGTTTTCTCTACCCCTTAGAAACACTTCTCTTCTTATCTATATTCTACTTCTAAGCACACAACTAACAGTCACCCTTCTGTTTATCTTTTGTTAATTGCTTTTACAGTTGCACTTTGCCCACGGGAAATTCAACTCGGCACTTTAATGACATTGGTCTAAGAAACGCCTTTGTCGTGTTTAGAGACCTGACGTTTTTATAAGAAAATTGGGTAC